CCCCCCAGCCCAGAGCAGGGTCAGGTCTCCATCCCCGGATTTCCTCAGTTGCACCATCACGTAGGCCACCTGGTCCTGACTAGACAACCTCTAGCCCTGCCTTCCACCAGGGCTACTGCCAGCTGGCCCACCAGGCCCCCGAAGGCCTACTTGGAGCAAGAGCCCACCTCACTATTGCCCCTTCGCCCCTACCGGGGGTCCCTGGGTCCTCATGGAGGGGCAGGCCATGGTCTGGGAGGCTGCTGTATGATCTAGGAAGCCTAACCTCTCTAGGCCTCAGTCTCCCCGTCCATACAATGAGGAAGAGCAGGCCTGGAAGATCTTCCAGGGCCCACCCAGTTCCAATCGTGCCAGGCTCCAAGGATGACTAAGCATGCCTACTGACTAGCTTGTGGAGGTGCCAGGCTCCCTGGAGCAGGTGTCTGAAGAGTGCCCAGCTCTGCAGTCCCAGCCTCTGGTCAGGCCAGGACATAGCGAAGGCTCATTTGGGGCTGGCACCTCTGGGCTTCCTGCCTTCCCCTCCCAGGGGTTTCAACTCAGGATGCACCAATCCAGTCCTGTCTAGTCCCTACCTGGACTTGAAAGGTCTTCTTAGTAGCTTTTTCTGAGCAGGCAGGGGAGGAAAGGAGCTGTGACAATGTCACCCGCTGCCTTACTTCTAAATCCTGCTGCTTTCTGACTCCCTGTTTACCTTGAGTTGAAGAATGCTATTGCTGGAGAGTGGACATCTGATCCTCTTCTTCAGTTTACAGCCAGTTTATAGATAGGGAAATTGAGATCCAGAGAGGCTTGGTAATTTCGCCAAGGTCTTAGCAAGACTCTCAAACCTACCTCCTTTCTCCTTCAGCACAGTGACTGCCCAGCCTGGGTGCGCTGTGTGGGTGTACACAAAGATTTGTGCAGGTGCATGTGGGGTCAACAGGGCAGGCTGCGCCTGCACCAAACCGTGACTCTGCTAAGAATGGTTCCTGGCTCCCTTTCCACCCCTGCAGGAAGTGAGTTGCCCGTGTGTGCGAGCTGTGGCCAGAGGATCTATGATGGCCAGTACCTCCAGGCCCTGAACACTGACTGGCATGCAGATTGCTTCAGGTAAGGTGGGCTGGCCAGGGATGGAGTACCCTAAGCAAGACCTACCAAAGACAAGCGGCTAGGCAAGCAATCTGGGAGAGCTGGCTACACTCCCTGGTGCTGTCTCTTGACTTCCAGCAAGTCTTTGGCCTCAGTTTCCCCATCTGTAAAATAGGCATTTGTACTAGAAGATCCCTAAAGGCCTCTCTGTTTTGTCATTCTATACCTCTTTGGAGAGGAGGGGAGAAACCTGTCTTTCCACCAGTATTACCAAGGCCTGCAGGCACCTAGGCAGGGGGAGGAGGGGGAGAGCAGTGCACTCTTGCCTTCTGGATGCTCATGCTCCAGGAGAGGAAGGGAGACAAACATAGTCTTGGGGTAAGTTGGGCCTCCTTCACTGGGCCCCAAGCTGGTTGTCAAGATATGTAGCCCAGACACTAACTCTCAAGTGTTGGAGAGAGGGGTCAGGGCTGTGGCTGAGCACATGGGACCCAATGGAACCATAATTAGAAGCAGGATCAGGGATAGCCTTAGAGTTGGTTCTACAGCCAGAGTTGGGGGTCTCAAAGGATGTGAGATTCCCCACATGGGAAGGAATTCCAGGCATGAAGGAGTTCCAGGCAAAGGACCCAGCAGGGGCAAAGGGAGTGACAGGGCCTGGCTCAGTCAGTGAACAGCAGAGTTCAGGTGGAAATGCATTGCAAAGAGGGGAAAGTGAAGTTGGGAGGCACAGCTGGGGTCAGGGCATCGACCACCAGCTGATGGAGGGGTTTTTTTGGTGGTGTTTTTTTTTTTAAGAATAATGTTTAACATTTTCTACAATTTATTAAGGACCAGGCACTGGTGTAAGGATAGTAATATATTGCATTTTCTCCATTAGTTGAGACACAGAGGGGTTAATTCTTTTGACCAAAGTCTCACAGCCAGTGAGTGAATGAATACACAGCACCCACACCACTGGCTAGTGAGGCGAGAAGAGAGGTAGGCCCCAGGCCCTGGGACTCCCAGGCAGTTGTTCAGGAGGTCTTCAGGCAGCAGGGGATTCTTAGTAGGCAGAGAAAACCACGTCTGCATAGACAGGAAGGTGGGATAGCATGGGCAGTTGAGGCAATGGGAATAGCTCCTTTGGTTGGAATAGATTGAGCCGAGGGATGCAGTGAGGAGGCAAACTTGTGATTGATTTGTGAAGGGCCCTGCACACCAAGATAAGAACCTTTTGAGGGTAGTAGGAAGCCAGCAAAGGGATCCAGAAAGCAGAAAGCAAGGGAGGGACGTGGGTGGAAGTGCTATTGAAAAGTGCCATCCCAGTGGCAGATGGTAACTTGGCAGGGAAGGGACTGTCACAGTAGTTCAGGGATCTGTACTTAAGGCCTGACCTAAGACAGTGACTAAGAGTGGAGAGAATTGCAGATTTAGAAGGGACAATGTTTGGCAAGTTTTAGTCATATTAGCCACCATTTATTAAGCACTCTTTTAATGTCATTTCATTAAACCTTTGACATAACCAAATGAAGTACCATTATTTGCCCAGTTCGTATGTGAGAAATCAAGTACCTTACTGAAAGTTGCAACAGCTGGAGCTGGGACTTGAACCTATGTCTGTCTCATTCCAAATCACTGCAGAATTGAAGAGGTGAGGGGCCTTGGAGTGGGGCTGGGGGCTGGTGAACAGCAGGGGCTGAATTGAAAGTGGTCTGGTTTTTGCCCTGGTGCCGGGGAGGGCAGTGGTCTGTTGGCTCTGGTGGAGTCAGGAGCTGGGTTAGTGATGAGTTGTGCCCTGTCCCTGTTGAATTGGAGGTGCAGTGGACTATCCAGGGTGGCAGTGCCCTGCCCAGAGCTGGCCAAAGTCGTCTGAGGCCAGTCAGAGGTGAGAAGGCCAGAGAGAACAGCCCGCTTAGGGCTGGCACAGAGATAGAGGGGTAGGGGGGTTGAGATGGGGCCAAGAGAGATCAGGGGAAGAACTTTAGGGGCCCCTGTGCCTCTGGTGGGGAGGGAGATGGAGCCTTAGGAGACATGCGGGAGGGCCAGGAGTATAACCGTGCAAGCCACAGGAGTAGAGTAGAGGGACAGAATGCATGGAACCTAGCTTTGAAGGGTCCCTGCCCTGCATAACCAGGAGGGGGTAAAGCCCCTGGTGGAGACAGTAGGAAGAAGGCATATTTGGGTTATCCCTGGTATGACCAGCACAGGGAAGGCTTCCATGGTGAGGAGGGCCCACAGGCAGTAAGAGCCACAGGTTCCACAGTGTGGCTTGCATGAGTGTTCTGACCCAGTGGTGTGGTTCTCCCAACAGCCCCTAAAACTGGTGAGGCCAACAGTGTCCACATCCCATGACAGTTAGAGAAGCAATTCAGACAGGAGTCACTGTTTGCCTGGTCCCCATGGCTAGTAGGCATCCAGTCTGGCTCTCAATGGGATGCCCAAGGCTCCAGATTCTGCTTGGTTTCTCCCTGGAAGCATCTCAGTGCCATGAGATAGGGCTGGCACCAGCCCCTGGGCTCTGAGGCCTTGCAGTGGGAGAGTTGCTGTGGGCACACAGGATGCCTCTGGCATTAACACTGGGTGTCATTGTCACCCTAGGCCCCCCTTTCTCTGTTCCAGGCACCCCAACCCTGTGGACCTCTCCTCCTGGAAGGTTATGGCCAGACTCAGAGTGGTCCAGGCTTCCCTTTGGCCCAGCTTCTGCCTTTGGGAGGTCCCTTCCCAGCAGCCTGCAGTGCTTGAGCCCTGAGGCTGCTGTTGCTCTGACAACATCTCCCCGGAGACTGGGTGGGCTGGCCCTGGGTGAGGAGAGATGAGCACACAGCTGGCACTATGGGTCTGAGCCTGGGCCAGAATGCAGCCTCCCCCTCTTCGGGGGACGATTCAGACAAGGAGGACAGATTGTTCATGAAAGTTGACCTCTGTTCTCTTAGGGGCAGCACCGGAAGAAGCAGCTACTTTTGAGCTTGTCCCTGTCCCCAGAGAGCCCTGAGCCCTCACTGCCTTTAAGTAGAGACCAAAGAGCATGGAGTGTGCCTTGGTGTGTAAGGCTGAGGGCAGAGTGACTGCCACAGCCTCCCTGCCTGCACTGGAGTCCCGGCAGAAGGCCCTTCAACTGCTTCCTGTTGTGGGCTCAGACCAAGTCGTCCGGCACCCACATTGCTGCATTCTCCTCCCATGCTGGTGGCCACGCTGGCCCCACCCTCTGCAGCCTCCAATCCTGCGTGCCTGGAGTAGGATGGGGAAGCAGCTCGTAGGCCCACCCCTGCCCGTGCACTCCCCATTAGGCCTCCAGAGCCACTGGAGCTGTGGGGAGCTGCGGGGAGCTACAAAAGGATGCTGGCCTCGCCCCTGAGAAGAAGGCGCTGCTTTAGAGGGGCCAAGTAAGTGGAAAGTCCCTTCCCCACCTGTCCCAGACCTTAAACAAGGCTGTGAGGACTCGGGCTAGAGGTAACCGTGGGACAGACTGACCTGGGTCCTGCCTGTGGGACAGGAGAACTGAAACTCTTGGTCACTGTTGGCCTCCTGTAGAGAGGAAGCAGGCCGCTGCTGAAGCTTCTGGCCTTTTTGGTACAAAAAGCTTCTGTCTCCATGAGGCTGGTCCTCCAACTACTCCTTCTTCATCTCTGATGTCCAGGGATGTGGCCCTGGTTAGAGTGCACCTGTGAGAAGAATGGACCTGTCATTGCAGAGGTTGCCACTGCCTCTCAGGCCAGCACTCTTATGCCCTCCCAATGCCTGAGCCTGGCTTTGTCTTCTGCTCTCAGGGAGGGGTACCCTGTACAGGGCAGATAGACAACTGTCCTCTCTGTCTGTCCCTAGGCCATTTCTATACACACTTAGTACCTGGCACTCCTCTCTTGATGTCCTTCGTGGGAGCAGGGGCATGTGTAGGGCAACCCTAAGAGTCAGGCCTACCTGCCCTACCTGCCTCCTCTGGCTTCTGGCTGGATGTGGACCTGAGGGGTGAAGAGATCGACAGGGTCAGGGGCTCCTGGGTGCCTTCCTTTAGCAAAGGTCCATCAAGGCCACAAGTGCCAGCCACCCAGCTGCTACGTGAGCCTGGACTAGAATCCCTGTTTGAGATGGAAGTCCCCTGTCCCCTGTCTGAGATAAGAGGCCCAGCTTGGGGGCCCTGGAGCAATTCTGAGGATGCTAGGAGTGGGAGCTGCTCCAGATGGAGTGTACAGAGCAGGTCTCTCTGGTGGGAACCACTTATGTTTTCTTTGGGGTCCAGTGTTTGTGGATGCCTGGCCTGGGACCTCAGAGCCCTGCTGCGGGTTAATGGTAAAGACTGGTGGGCCAACAAAGGCTGACTGTGCAGGCTGGGGGAATGGGGGCTACCTAGCCAGGCCTTTGAGCAGGCTTCAAGGAAGTGGTGACCAGGTTGCGATTACACTCACAGAACTCTTGGATGAGTCAGTGTGGTCGGGTCTTCCAGGGCTGCTGCGGTGATGAATGTTTGTGAAGTAGGAGTTTGTGAAGCAGTGGGAGTTTGTAGGTCGTTGAAGAGCATTCTCTCCCCTGGAGGAAGGCAGCTGCTCCTGAGCCTGACCAAGTCCCCACTTCCTGCATCCTGGCAGCCCGGAAGTGAGGGGGAGACTCCTGTGGTGACACTCCTGTGACATGATGTGTCTGGTTGGTGGCAGGGTGAAGTGAATCACTGATCAGCACAGGGCATGAGGGGCCTCCCCAAAGTCAGGGTGTAGTGCTTGCACTGCCTGCGCCTCCCCCCTACCCCTTCTGCCGTGAGATGCCCACCTCCTGCATGGCCCAGGGCAGGAAGGGTCGGGAGGGTGGGGATGACGTCAGGGCTCTGGTCCAGCTGCTGCTTCTGCTGCCTCCTCTGCTGCCTCCTCTCACAGCCCAGGGCTGTCTCCCCAGGCCCTCCCTTTCCACTCCTCCCCCCTCTCTCATAGGGAAACGGCATCAGACCTCCATTCTGAGAGCACCCCCACACACACCCTGTTTCTGAACCCAGGCATTTTATGCCTTCCCTGCCCCTGCCCTTGCAGCTACTTCCCCCCACCAACCTGCCCTACGCCCTCAGGCTCCCAAACAATGGGGAACAGGCTGTATCCATCCTCTTAAAGGGACAGTGTCCCACCAGCACTCTTGGTTGCTGTCCTCTCTCTCGGCATCCCCAGTTCCCTAGTTAGGGAGCAGTGAAAGAAGGCAGGCTGTGTAGAGTGGAGGGTTCCCTGGGGAATGGAGCTATCTCATTCAGGTCCCAGTCTTTCTTGCCCCCTTCTCCCCTGGATTATTTCCCTACTGAGCCGTAAGCTCTGAGCCTGGGTCTGTCTGTCCCTTTGTGACCTTGGCACATCACCCAGAGGGCACAATCAGCAGCAGAGCTGGATGGGTTCTCTGTATGGTGTGTCCTCTGGTCCCTAGGACCCTGGGTCAGGTTCTTGAAAACATGCCCCTGAGGGCTCACTGGGATCCGCATTTCTGCATTTGCTCATCCTGATTTAGCTGGGCTGTTGGTGCCTACCCACTGGGACAGACACTTGAGTGGAAAGAGTTCTAGCTAGCTCCAGGCCTATGGGATGACACCAAGAAGCTAATATATCATTCCTCTCCATCTGCTCTTCAGGGGCCCCATCAGCTAGGCCTCCCTGGTAGACCCTGGTGATGGGGCAGGGGGATTGTGGCCCTGATGATCCTGCACATCTGGGCATCCTCCATACAGCACTACTACTCTTCTGAAGGAAGGTGTGGGGACTAAGGCTCTGGTTGAGGTGGAGGGAGGGGCCATGCTGCGCTGCCCCTTAAGTCCCCTTCTTGTGACTGACAGCACCTGTAGGGCTGACTAGGGGCTAGGAAATCAGTAGATCCCATCTAGACTGATCCTAGAGGGTCACTGCTGAGCTGAACTCCTGCCTCATACCTTAGTGGAACAGGGAGTGGCTTTGTGTGACCTTGGGCAGTTTAAAGGCTGTAAAGCTCATCTGCCTCATCTGTAAAATGAGGATGCCCATTGCTACCTCATGGTGGCCTGTGAGGATTAAGAAAATTCAACCAAGACAGTGGGAAGGTGCTAGCATTTAGTAGGTCTTCACAGCTCAACAGGTCACTTTTATATATGTCAGATGGCTCAAGCTGCTTCCACATTGCTGGGGTGGGGAAGGGGAGAGAGAGAGGGAGAGGGAGAGGAAGCTGACCAGACTAGAGGAGTGGGGCCTGTGGTTTGTTAGGCTCACCATCTCAATCCTGGTCTCCCTGGTTCCATTACCCCCTCCACCTGGTTGGTGACCAAGAGCAAGTCGCTTGCCCTCTCTGGGCCATCTTTCTTACATGACTAGGGATAGGGGTGCAGATGAGGAGTACTTCTCACTGGGGGCTAGTAGGTAGCCAGACATTCTGGGTGCAGAACTGCTATGGGTGGTTGTGCAGGCTGTGCACTGCAGAGGCTTCTGGTCAAGGGGCCATGGGGGGCTGAATCCATCTCTGACTTCACTTGCTAAGCCCTGTGCTCCAGTGCAGGCTGCCTCTCCCCAAAGGGCACACCTTTTTCTAATTCTCACAAAGGTGCCTATAGATTGTGAGCAGACCCAGCTATGGAGGAGGGGTGGGAGTGGGCCATGCTAAGTCCCAGTTCCTCTTTCACTCAGGTGTTGTGAATGCAGTGTCTCCCTCTCACACCAGTACTATGAGAAAGATGGGCAGCTCTTCTGCAAGAAAGACTATTGGGCCCGCTATGGCGAGTCTTGCCATGGGTGCTCGGAACACATCACCAAGGGACTGGTCATGGTGAGCACCCCCTGCCCCGCTTGCCCACCTCACCTGGTCTGTGCGTGTATGTCCATGTGTTCGTGTCCATGTCCATGTCCTCACAGATTTCTCTGCTCAAGGTCTCTCTCCCATCATCTCTCTTGTTCTTCTTTTCACTGGTTCTCTAATTCCCCCATGCCTTCTTAGCCCATTTGTCTGTATCCCTCAGCCCCCTTTCTTTAGAGCCAGCTCTGTCCAGGAGCTCAGCAGCTGACCAACCAGGCCCTCAAAGTTTTTTTGGGGCTGCCCTTCTGAGAGAAGGCCAAGCGGAGGAGATATGGTCGCTGAAGGGGCTAAGTTGGGTTGTCCTCCCACCCCTCTGCCAGGTGGCTGGGGAGCTGAAATACCACCCCGAGTGCTTCATCTGCCTCACATGCGGGACCTTCATTGGTGATGGGGACACATACACACTGGTGGAACACTCCAAGCTATACTGGTGAGTGCCCTGGCCCCTGTCTGAGTCTGCTGTGCCCACCTGTAGCACAGGTCTCCCACACCACGGCCCTTTCCCTGCCCATGTGGGGCAGTCATTAGAAGTGACTGGGAAATGTGACATAAGAGTCACACCGAGAAAGCCTAAAGTAATACATCAACCTTTCTTATTGATGTATTACTGCAGTGCAGTTCTGGTACCCACCACTGACCCTACAAGTTTAGGGCCCAGTCCCCAACGAGACCCCTTACTTGGGACAAGTTGAAGGGTCCCTAAGCCACTCCCACTTCAGACCAGCTAGTTACAGATCAGGGATTCCCACAACCCCCTCAGGTTTGATAATTCACTAAATGACTCACAGAACTCTGAAAGTACTATAATTACGATTCAGTTTTTTATAAAGGGTACAAATCAGAACCAGCCAGATGAAGAAACGCAAAGGGCAAGGTCAGAGAGGGTCCCAAAAGCAGAGGTTCTATGCACCCTCCCCATGGAATCAGGACATGTGACCCCCCACCTCAGCACCAGAGTTTTTTTGAGGTTTCATTAGGTAGGCAGAATTGATTGAATAATTGGACACATGATTGAACTCAATCTACAGATCCTCTCCCCCTTTCTCAGAGGTTGGACTAGGTCAAAGCCCCAACCTTCTAATCACAAGATTGGTCTTTCTGGTGATTAACCCCCATCCAGAATCATCTTGTTAACATAAACTCAGTGTGGTCTGAGGTCAGGAAAAACAAAGACACTCTTATTCCAAGGATTTAGAGCCCCTTTCCCAGAAACCGAGAACAAAGACCAGAGAAATTAGATTCAAGGGCAGCATGGCTTGATCCCAAATGGACTTTTAATGACTTACTCCTGAACTGTATTTAACCCCAGGCCTCTTTCTGGTCAGTTTACAATGTTACAGGAGTAGGCAAACCCAGGAAGACTGAGCATCAGTGAGGAGCAAGGGTAGGGCTGCACATGCTCAGTTTCTGCTCCCAGTCCACCAGGCAGCTAAGGCCCTCCTCCCCCTGTGGGGAGCAGTAAGGAGATGAGCGGGAGCCTGGGACTTGGGGGTGGGGAGTGGTGATGCTGGTGACTGCTGATGCTCTTTTCTTTCCACTGTTTGGGTCCCTACTGCCTGTGGCTCTTGCAGCGGGCACTGCTACTACCAGACTGTGGTGACCCCCGTCATCGAGCAGATCCTGCCTGACTCCCCCAGCTCTCACCTGCCCCACACAGTCACCCTAGTATCCATCCCAGCCTCAGCTCATGGCAAACGTGGCCTCTCAGTCTCCATCGACCCACCTCATGGCCCACCAGGTTGTGGCACGGAGCACTCCCACACCGTCCGCGTCCAAGGGTGAGTGGCTGGCCTGCCGAGGCTGCAGCTGGTGTGGTTATAGCCCTGGATACTTTAGATGGGTAACCGACTCTGGGACTGGGGCTCTGAAAACGGGTAGCACTTAGGTCCATATAGAGCCCAGCTCTGACACCCTGGTGTACCAGATGCCTGGTTCCTCTAAAAACCATTACAAATGCTAAAAAAATATTTTTAACTATTTTCTTTAATTCATGTATGATCTAATAAGAAGGAGAAGTAACCAGGTCTGGAATAAGTGAAGGAGGGAGCCCGGGGTGTCAGCAGAATACTAAAGGTAGCCATGCTTTGAGGGCAAATCTAAACTGAGTGAACTTAAGCTTCACTTTTCAAGTTCTTTCACGGCTGGGTTTCTCAAAGCTTTGACCTGCTAAGGAAACTAGTCTAATAAGAGAGCTGTTCCCTCCCCCACTAAGCTTGAACCCCAAGAGGGCTCTCAAGGTGAGGATGAATGAGAAATAAACCATACCTTTCGTCAGCCCCCTGAGAACTGTAAAATAAACTGATTTGAACCTGAATGGAAGGGGAGAGGGTATCTAAAAATTTATAGATTTGGGATTGCAAACCAAATTCATATATCTGGGTGTTTCAAAAAACCTTAAGGCAAAATTATAAAAGTTTAAAGTGCTTCCCAACTGACAGTGCTCCCAAGCCCTGACAGAATCAGATGCAGATCCTTTCTGAAGAAACCCACTTTCAGGCTTCATTGAATTTACTTAGGTTAGTGTTTCAAGGATCATGAGCAATTCAGTCAAAAATCACCGGACATATATCTAAGGAAGCAAGGCATTGTGAGCAAAAGTTAGCAGAAACAACAAGAAGCAGAACCTTAAAACCTCTGATATTGGAATTATGAGACATAATATAAAATAATTATGCTCACTGTGTTTTAATAAAAAAGAGATGCTTGAAAAATGAGTAAAGAGTAATAAACTTGTAAAGGAACCAAATATAACCCCTAGAAATGAAATGTATAATTATTAAAATGAAAATTTTAATGCAAGCATTTAACAGTGGAGTAGGGTTTAATACAGCAGGAGAGAGAAGCAGAGACACAAAAAGGTGAAAACTGTGAAAGAGAGGTTAAGCCACATGGAGGACAGTGAGAGGATCAAATCATTTATTTGACCCCAGAAGAGGAGAGAACTAATGGGAGAGAGGCACTATTTGAAGATGTAATGGCTGAGAACTTCCCAGAACTGATAAAAGACACCAATCCACAGACTCAAGCCCAGTAGATCCTAAATAGCAAGATAGAAAGAAATCCAAGCATAGATCACACCATCTAGTGAAACGACGCAAAAGAAAAGACTTTCAAAGTCACCATAGAAAACAGACAAATTACCTCCTAAAAAGGACTGACGGCTGATTTCTCAACAAAAACCACGTAAGCCAGAAGTCAGTGAAATGATATAGTTAATGCACTGAGCAAAAAATAAAAATCAACCAAGAATTCTGTACTTGAAAATATCCTTCAAGAATGAGGGTGACATGGACATGTTAAAGCAGACAAAACCAAGATTTGATACTAGCAGATCATCCATAAAGAAAATTCTAAAGGCTGTAGAAAGATCTGAGATGCCAGAAGGAATGAAGATCAGGGAGCCAGCCCAGTTACCAACACACTGTGATGTTGAGCAGCTCCTTGACCTCTGTGGGCTTTTGGGTCTTTTGAACAGTGAGAAAATTGGACACTTGGAGCCTTCTAAGATTTCTCCGAGGCCTTCATTGACTTCTTGAGAAGTAGTTTTAAATGTCTCCCATGTCCCCAAGTCTGGACATGGGAACCAAGTGCCAGCTTCCATTGGATTCAGTGAACTTTCTCACATACCTGCTGGGTACCAGGCACCATGCCTAGGAGCTGGTAAGAAGTGAAGGTGGTACTGGGGAAGGAGGATGCTGTCGGGCTTAACTCTCCATCTCCACCCCCAGCTTGAGCATCTGCCAGGCCAGCAGCTGCCTTACATACAGAAGTAAGCAGACAGACTGTGAGAGAGATGGGGAAACTCCCAGACCAGCTGGTCCCTGACAACCAAGCAGAATTTTAGAAATAGAGAGCCAATGGCACCTCCCCCCTATCTCCCTTACTGGCTAAGCATTCTTTCCAGACAGCATCTGCTTTCCAATTTCTGCAAAACCACCCCCTTCTCAGAAACTCCTAGCTTGCCCTAAGGCTGCTGACTGGATTTACTTGTTTTAAGTGAGTCTTAGTTGACCACTTTTCATTTTGTTTATAGCAGCATTTTAAGGAAAGTTTAATTTATCTGTGACCCAGCCCCCTGCTGCCTTAACAGGAGACTGAAGGAGGGGAGATGGGGAGTCTAAGGAATATATTTTTTAGGCTCTATCCGTGAGAAGCTCATATCAATGAAAATATATTCATTGTTTTTTCAACTTTTTATCTTGAAATTTACAAATTGACAGAAAATTTGCTAAAAAATAGGTATATTGAATACCTATACACCTTCACCTAGGTTCACCAGTTTTAATTTTTTGCTGCATTTGGGGTATATGTGTATATCTCCCTCTACATTTATGTGTGTGTATACATATGTATTCTGACTTATGTTTATATATACATATATATGTACATATTGTTGTTATTTACTAAATCATTTGAGAGTAAGTTGCAGATACTATTGACCCTTCCTCCCCCAGAAAGGCTCCTAAAAACAAGGACATTCTTACATAAATATCAATTGCATATAATCATGACATTTAGGAAATTTAAGATTGATACAGTACTTTTATCCAATATGCAATCCATATTCAGATGTTGCTAGATGTCTCAGTACTGTCCTTTACAAGTTTTCCGCAATCCAGGATCCAGTCCATGATCATGCATTTCACTGAATCCTCATGTCTCTTCAGTCTCTTTTAAATTGTGACAGTTCCTCAGCTTTTCATTGTCCTTCATGACATTTATGAAGAGTGCAGGTCAGTTGTTAAGTGGAATGTCCCTCCATTGGTTTTGACTGATGTTTCCTCTTTATTAGATTTAGGTTATGCATTTTGGCCTGATACCGCATAAGTGCTGCTGGGTCCTTCTCCGTGCTCTTTATTGGGGATGTCAGTTTTAATTCCTGGACCAACATGCAAATAATCCTCTCAGATGTAAAGGATTTTTTTTCCTCTTTGTAATATAATCAATAAGTCATTTATGAGATTTGACTGTAAATATCCTGTCCCCCAAGAACCTTTCACCAAATGGTGCTGGCATCCATAGATGATGCTTATCTGCATCAGTTATTACCATGATGGCTACAAAATAGTGATTTACTAACTCTGTTCTTTCTTCTGCATTTATTACCTGGCTTTCCAGTATAAGGAAGCGCTCCCTCATGTGAGAATATGCTCTTGATAATGAAGTTTTTTTATGAGTCTGTTTTCCTTAAAGTCCTCAGTCTCTTCTCTGTCCTGCCCCGCCCCCCCTTCCTACCTCAGGGCAGAGGCAAAGTGAACATTCCTTAAAAAGCTTTTATGAAGACAAAAGGAAAGCCAGATAATTAACACCAAAGAGTTAAAAGAAGCAATTAAATTTGACAAATTGGCCATTCCATGAGTTAGCTTATAGCCAACTAAGCAAGGGCGTCATCCCATCTCCACTCTACAACTGTGGCTCAGGGCAGTCTACTAGCGTCTTCCTACTGATTCCCAAAGGATGGGAGCCTTCACCTCATCTTGCAGGGCAAGTTTGGGAGTCAGGTAGGAAGCCAGTAGATCCAGACCCTTTTAAGACTCATGACATTTGTCTGCCCCAAGCATACCAGGAAGTTTGGAGAATTGGTCTGTTCTCCACGGCAGAGACAATGCTCTGTTGCACAGGAGCCCCTGAGCATCTAGTGTGGGGCATCAAATGCCTAGGGGTGTGCCACCTTTCTCCAGTTTTACACAGCAGAAGACATCAGTAATTAGTTTCAGAATTCTTCCAACCAAACCAGAACTCAGGGTTCTGGACCATTGCCACCTACTGATAACACAAGATAGAACTCACCCCAATCTGATTCCTTTGGCCTTAGTTTCCTCTCAGGGTTCTAGAGGGTAGGCAGGCGGGCAGGGCTCTGACCACTGCCCTGTGTCCACAGAGTGGACCCAGGCTGCATGAGCCCAGATGTGAAGAATTCCATCCATGTTGGAGACCGGATCCTGGAAATCAACGGCACACCCATTCGGAACGTGCCCCTGGATGAGGTATGGGTCCTGAGTCTGGTAAGCAGGATTGGAGGTGGTACCTTCATGCCTGGCCCCCACCACCTGGGACTCACCTGTCCACACACCTGCTCTCCCCAGATTGATCTGCTGATCCAGGAAACCAGCCGCCTGCTCCAGCTGACTCTTGAGCACGACCCGCATGACACACTGGGCCATGTGGCAGGGCCTGAGCCCAGCCCCCTGGGCTCCCCAGCTCCCACTCCCAGTGGAGAGGCAGGCAGCTCTGCCCGGCAGAAACCTGTCCTGTAAGTCAGCCCTGCCTCTTGGTGTATCTAGGTACTTTCACTGATTCTGGACCTCGGGATGAGGCCTGATCCCCACCCTCCAGTCGCTCAGTCTGTGAGGGAGTCACCCCTGCAGAAAAGCATGCCAACAAAAGGTGCTGGGGACTATGAGGAAGGAAAGGTAGTGAGAAGTAGGAAAACAGGTGGAAGCAGCTCCCCCAGCTGGGGATTGCAGAGCTTTCCAGGGTGGAGCAGCACCTTGACTTCAAGGAGCAGCAAGCGAGTAACTCAGGATGATGGGAGCATTGGGTGTGGTTTGGGAGGGGTGGGTTTCAAGGCAGAAGCTAATTGCAGGGCTTTAGATGTGGCAGGGGTCCTTGGACCTTGTCCATGTCACAGGGCCTCACTGAAGGGTGTTGCAGCAAAGTGATATTTCCCAGAGACCACTCTGATCCCTGTGTGGAAGGGTACCCAAGACCAGAGGAAGCTAGAGGACTGTTGCAGTGGTCCAGGTGGGAGGGTGCCCTGTACCATCTTGCAGGGGGTTGGAGGACATGAGAAAGAAACCCAGAAGCAGCCTGGTCCTCACTGTACTTCCTGTGGGCCCGCTCAGGAATCCTGATAAAGACTTGTGGAGCAGGCAGGGGAACAGCCTTTACTCTCTGAAATAGTGATGTTGAGATTATGTATTTCCTCCTCACCTGTGTTTGTCTAGAACTCATGCCGCCCTGTAAGGCCACCTGTATTGCAGGGTTATGGGCTTCCTGGGCAGATCATCTGCTTCTGCACCCCAGGACCCAAATGCTAGGAGACAGTTTATCTGACCCAAAGCCACCAAGCAGAGAAGCCCAAGGACAAACATTCCAACCAAGGGCACCTGAACAATAGTGGGCCTCAAACAGGAAGGCTGAGCAGGATGGGCACCAGGTGCTGGCATCAGGATTGGGAAGTCTTGTGACCACCCCAGGAGAGCTGTCCTGTGCTACCTTCTCAGAACGAATGACTAAGCGTAGACTGACATAGATGGGAGCATGACAGGCAAGCGAAAGAGGACAGGATGAGGCCTAGCCTCCCCCAGGGGGCCTGAGCCAGGTGTCCACCTGCCCCTGGTGGCACTGGGCATGTGTGTGTGCCCTCAGGAGGAGCTACAGCATCGACAGGTCTCCAGGTGCCAGCTCGCTGGGCTCCCCTGCATCCCAGTGCAAGGACCTGGGACGCTCTGAGTCCCTTCGCGTGGTCTGCAGGCCACACCGCATCTTCCGGCCATCGGACCTCATCCACGGAGAGGTGTTAGGCAAGGGCTGCTTCGGCCAGGCCATCAAGGTACAGGGCATGCTGGGCAGGGACGGGCCAAGAGTGGGAGCAGGGGGGCAGTTTGGGTGCGACCTATCAGTCCTGCCTTCTCCCACCAGTGCCTCCAGGAATCCACATGGAAGGGGCTTCTAGACTCCCTAGCCAGTACTCAACCTCCACCTGGGTCTTCTTGAGCTAATGAGGGGGAGGGAACCTACTCCTGATAGACCTAGAACTTTTTTTTTCTTCTTTTTTTTTTTTTTTATCTTCACCAGAGGACATTTTTTCTATTGCTTTTCAGAGAGGGTGGAAGGGAGAGAGAGAGAGACATCGATGTGAGAGAGACACATCGACTGGTTGCTTCCTGCACGCCCCTGACCAGGGCCAGGGATTGAGCCTGCAACCGAGGTATGTGCCCTTGGCTGGAATCAAACCTGGGACCCTTCAGTTTGCGGGCCAATGCTTTAACCACTGAGCCAAACCAGCTAGAGCTAGACCCAGAACTTTATATGGAGGAGGTTGGTGGAAGGTGGGGGGTGGGAAGGCAGCCCAGCCAGACCCAGAAGGCCTCGTACTGAGCTTGATGCCAATCCACTCAGGACTCAGGACTGCTTTCCCCTTCATACTCTCCCCAGAAGAGATAAGCCCTTTCCTGGCTCTCGTGTCACTGGCTATGACTAGGCTAGAAGATTCAGGATTATACAAAAGGTGCTGGTCAAGTCACCCACGTGCTCTTGTCCAGATAGGCCCTGGCCCCCAGCCCTTGTCCCTGGTCCCTGGTCCCATTGCCAGGGGAGGTCTCTGGTAGAGATACCATTCTACCTCCGGGAGACAGCCCAGCAAAGCACAGTAAAGAGAGCAGGCTTCTGGGTCAGGTGGTCCTGGACCCAAGCCCCAGCCACCCCCCTTCCTTGCCAACTGGGTGACCTTGGGCCCTGCAAGGAAACTTCCCTGCACCTTAGTTTCTTCATCTATAAAGGTATTAAGTTCAATGCCCTTAAGGGCCAGGACATCACATGAAATGTCTGTGAAAATCCTGAAGCTGACTGTTCATTTCCCTGGCATGCCTAGGGTAGGGATGGGGCTCTGAGAAGTCAGGCTTAGAGCAGAACCTCTGTCTGTCTATCTCCATGCCTCGGTGTCCCCATGCAGGTGACACACCGGGAGACGGGTGAGGTGATGGTGATGAAGGAGCTGATTCGGTTTGATGAGGAGACACAGAGGACATTTCTCAAGGAGGTCAGTGAGTGGAACTGCTACACCCTCTTCACCAGATTTCCCCATCCCTTTCCACCATTGTGAGCCAGTGGCAGAGGGCCCCAAGAGGATGTGACACTTAAGTCAGACAGTGAAAGAAGAGACAGTATCTGCCAGGAGTGCAAGAAGGGCAGGGCCACCCCTAGGGGTGGGAGCAGCTCGAACAAAGCACAGTGACCAGGGGGTGTGGCGGGAGCCCAATGGGGTGGGGAGGCTCCCCCGTCTATGGCACTGTCTGTGGCCTCTGGTGGGACAGTGGAGGGAGATGATGTGTGCACAGCCCCAGGCACAGCGTGTTTGCTCCCCACCAGGTGAAGGTCATGCGATGCCTTGAGCATCCCAATGTGCTCAAGTTCATCGGGGTGCTCTACAAGGACAAGAGGCTCAACTTCATCACTGAGTACATCAAGGGGGGCACACTCCGGGGCATCATCAAGAGCATGGTGAGTGCTGGGCTGCCCAATGGAGGGCACCTCCCCTCTTTAGTAGGGTCAGCCTCTGGTCTCAAAGACCCTCCAAGCCCTGATTTGGAATCCAGTAGAATTGCGCTGACTCTATCCAAAGCCGGGAAAAAGTTGGGGCCCAGAGAAGAGTGACAGCTATGCTGAGGGGACACAGGCTGGTTTGGATTAGTCATCCTGCAGGGCCACATGCCAGACCCAGCCATACCTTCCATAGGTCAAACACCTGAGGAGAGGCCTCTTCCTGTTACCTCTTCACAGTGGGCCTTTGTTTTGCTTTTGGTGAAACCAAATCATTTGTACTGTTTGCCATGGTCCATAAAACTGGAAAAAATTACAAAGCCATCTTTAGAAACAAAGTACTTGGAAGGGAGCTTCCAGAATACTCGTGCTGCTGGCACTGCCTCTGGGATCCAGTGCCAGGCCCATCTCAGTGTCACCCTGAGACCTCAAAATCCTGTCCCCCCTCACGCTCGCCGCTGATTCCTTGCCCCTCGGCTGAATTACCTGATGTTGCCAAAATGTCTCTCCTGCGGGCTCCTAACAGAGCTTCTCAGAAGGGATTCTGTGGTCAAGTGTGATTTAGAAATGCTGGGCTACACCAGCTTAGGCCTCCTAACTGCACGCTGAGCCTTTAATACGCTCTGATGTCATCCTCCCGCTGGAGGTCCCCAAGGGAATGAGGTGAGGGAAGAAGCTGTTTCCCCAAATGACTGAGCCCAAAGCCCTGCTCACCTGAGTGACATGGCCAACACTGCAGGTGACCTCACCAGGCCCATCTATCTATGATGGTCCATAAAAGTAGGTTCAGATTTTTTAAAAGCTTGAAAGAGTGGGGTTTTGTAGAAGATAAAAAGAGCTTTTTTTATTCTCAGAGGTGGAGGATCAGGAAGTACAGAGGAGAATTCCCCACCCCCTTTACTGTTTGAAATCAGTTCTGCTGGAAAATTGTTTTGAATTATGCACCCCCACCCATTAGAAGGAACAGGTGTGGGTGCAGAAGAGAGTAGAGGTCTCTCTAGGACACTTGTCCCTACTGCCTCTCTCTTACCCATTTGTCCCACCACTGGCCTCATTGGCCCCTCCTGGCCATTGTCTGTCCACCCCCAGGACAGCCAGTACCCATGGAGTCAGAGGGTGAGCTTTGCCAAGGACATCGCTTCGGGGATGGTGAGTAGGTTTTGGCTCTGACTTACTGTGTGTGAGCTGGGTGATCCAACCCCACTTATAAAATCATTCTCTCTGCTAACCTAAAATTCCACAAGGAATTTGGAAACGAGAGCCACAAGGAAGCTTTGAGAGTGGGCAGAGGGGACCAAATGGAGAGTGGGAAGAGCACCCCCCAACTGGCCTGAGTAGGGGAGATGGGAGCTTCTGGGGACCAGGGCTGGGGTCCTTCAGCACAGCTGCCTCCTGACCTCTATGCCTCCCACCCCCAGGCCTACCTCCATTCCATGAACATCATCCACCGGGACCTCAACTCTCACAACTGCCTGGTCCGTGAGGTGAGCAGCCTGGGCCTGGGAGGGGGGGCAGCAGGAGCCCTGTCCACCACACTCCTAGCCTCAAGGTGTTCTCTGAACTGGGTTCCCTGGGTAGATGCCCCTAACTCCAGTTTGGCCCCAGGGAAAGCAACTCAAGGCCAGGAGGCAAAGACCTTGCTATGCCATTTACTTGCAGTGTGGCTCCAACTCTCTGAGCCACTGACATTGCAGGTTGAAGGAGGGTCTGACAAATCAGTGAAGGAGAAATTGACGTGTAACCCGTAATGGACCAGGAGTCTGGCATTCACAGAGAATGGCCCATGGCAGAGTGGCCAGGCCTACACCAGGCAGCACTCACAGCTGTGAATCTAGAGTAGGACCTGGGCATGTGGGCTGCGGTGGTCAGGGCAGGCTTCCTGAAAGAAGCTTTGGAGGGACATACTTAAGTGGGGTGGTGATTGAAGGACCACAGGCTGTTCACAGAAAGCAGAGGAGTGAGTGACTGACCTTGCCCAACTGGAGAGGTTTCCCGGGGCTGCCATAGCAAAGACCATAGACTGGATGGCTTAAAAGAAAAGAAATGTATTCTTCTGGGTTCAGAAACCAAAATTGCAAAAGCAACGTGCTGACAGGGTCGGTTCTGAGGGAGAATCTGTCCCCTGCCCCCAGCTTCTGGTAGCTGCTGGCGTTCCTTGGTTTGTAGCTGCATCACTCCCCTTCTCTGCCTCCATCTTCACATGGCCTTCTTCCCTCTGTGTGTCTGTGTGCCCTTTTATAAGGACAATAGTCATTGGATTTAGGGCCCACCCTAATCTAGTATGACCTCATCCTAACTAATTGTATCTGCAAAGACCCTATTTCCAAATTAGTTCACATTGAGGTTGTGGGTGGACAGGAATTTTCTGGAGACATGATTTATCACACTACAGACAGGTAGAGATCCAGTCCCGGAGGAGGAGGTTCTCCAGACAAGTGATTGCCCAGTGAATTCAGTACAGGAAGAGTGTTTCTGATGGTGGCAATGAGACATGCAAAGGCCCAGCAATATCACATTCAGAAAGCCATATTGTTCACTGTCCAGTGAGGGTGTCAGCCCTCTGGGAATGTCCCAGCAACTCTGGGATCCTCTGGGCTGTGGGAAGCAGTGGACAGTGAGCACAGAGAGGTGGTTGAGACTAGATCACAGACCTCCCAGGGAGGGGGCTTAGAATGCCCCTGCTGGCAGTGGGTATCACTGCAAGGTCCAGCCCATATGCTGGGCATGGTGAAGACAGAGTGACCTATCACATCCTTGAGAATCTGATGAGAGTTGTGAGTCCTCCTGTCCCCAGAATTCATCTATGCACAACCAAAACCTTTGCCTATAATTTGGAGCTTCTGAGAACCCAGTGGTTGCCCTGGCTGGTTTCCCTAGAGCTGTTTCCCATAGCAGGGTCTGTGGACCCCCTGTACCATTAGATCCTATGAGACTCATTGAAAGTGCACAGTCCTGAGCCCCTCACCTCAGGCCTCCTGAAAGAGATGGGGCAGGAACCACCATTTGAACAGTCCTGATGGACCCTGGTCTTCAAGAACCACTGCTCAGGGGTCTGAGGAACCCAGGTCAGGATCCCTCAACTAACCTTCACCTGGTATTACACCTGAGGAGATGGAGCCCTTAGAGGGACTGTGTCACTTGAGGCCCCATCGAGGTGAGCCCAGAATGCAAATTCATCCCCTCACCCATTTGCCATCTTTGTAGAGTTTTTTCTAGGTGACTGTCCACATTTGTGTCCCTCCCAAAGGCAGCACAGGGTCCTTCCCTTCAGAGTGAGCCTGGCTCTAACTCCCACCTGTCTGGGGCCCTGCCACCTCAGCCTCTCTGTGCCCAGTCTTCGGTGTCCACCTAACAGTGGCTAATCCTGGAGCTGGCAAATAGGGTCCAGAATTCCAGGGTCCCAGACACCAAGCAAAGAGGCTTGGCCTTGGGGCACTCGGAAGACCTCCCCAGCCCCCTGACTTGGCACTGTGCCCTAGGCCTCCCTGCCTGTCTATCATCTCTCAGGAGGCTCCATCCCTGATACTACCATCTTGGTAGATGTAGCTGTCAGCATCTCAACTCTGCCAGGGTTCCTACAAACCTAAAACAGGAGAGCCAGGGGCTCAAGAGCCCTGGGTTTAAATCCCAGTCCTATCATTGACTAGCTGGGTAGCCTTGAGCAACTTTCTTAACCTTTCTGGGCCTTAGTCACCTCATCTGTAAGGTAACATGTACTAGATTGTTGGAGAATCAAGAGATAAATAATAAATAGGGGAGTGGGGCCACACTAGTATTTTCTGAAGCTTTGGGCAGCTCCATTTGCAAAGAGCAGAGGGCTTTGGGGAAAGAAGGAGGTCCCCACCCTATACCTGAGCCCCTCTGAGCAGTGGGGTTGCAGCTGCTGTCTGTGGATTCATGTGGGGTCCGGGCTAGGAACAAGTAGCTGGTGGTGGCAGGAACATGCTCAGTGTGGCCCTGCCTCCTCGTCACCCCAGAACAAGAATGTGGTGGTGGCTGACTTTGGGTTGGCACGGCTCATGGTGGATGAGAAGACTCAGTCTGAGGACCTGCGAAGCCTCAAGAAGCCAGACCGAAAAAAGCGTTACACGGTGGTAGGCAACCCCTACTGGATGGCACCCGAGATGATCAATGGTGAGTGGGTGGCCCCACCTGTCACATCTCCCTGGGACCTGGGAATCCCAGGCAGAAGAGCAGCTGCCCAACCCCTGGCCTCGGCCTCTTCGCTTCTTTGGGTCCTGTATTATTTTCTCATTGCTGGTGTAACAAATTACCACACACTTGGCTTAAAACACACAAGCTATTGTGTAGTTATGGAGGCCAGGAGTCCAATATCAGTCTCACTGGGCTATAGTCAGGTGTCATCAGGGCTGGTTCCTTGAAGGCTCTAGAGGAGAATCTGTTTCCTTCCTTTTTCCAGCTTCTAGAGGCTGCCTCATTGCGTGGGTGATGGCCCCTTCTTCCGTCAAGGCCAGCAGCCAAGCATCTTCTCTCTGACGTCTGTGTCCAGTGTCACATCTCTTTCCCTGACTCTGACCCTCCTCCCTCTCACATAAGGACCTCTGTGATTACATGGCTCACCCCAGTAATCAAAGATAATCTCCCCATCTTGAGAGCCTTAACTTAATCACACCTGCACAGTTCCATATAAAGCAGCATATTCGCAGGTTCCAGGGCTCAGGACATGAACATCTTTGGGGGCAGTTACTCAGTCTAGGACAGGCCCTCTCTCTCCCATTCCCTTTCTTTTATCAGGCCTGTCACACAGTGGTCCCATGTATGCCTAGACCGTGGGCCATAAAGCCCCTCCACAGGCAGGTGGCACGCAAACACAGGGTCAGGGCAAGCAGACCCAAGGTCATCTCAGTGCCAGCTCTGACCAAAGTTAGCATAGCCCCCCAAATAACTTCACCTGTAAAGGGGGGTTAACATCCTCTATCTTTAAGGGGTGGTGTGAGGATTAAATAAGGCTATAAACTAGGCAGCATTCCGTAAATGAGTGGCTGTATTGATTGTTTTTAACATCATGAGGTAAATGGTATTCTTCCCATTTTACAGATGAGGAAACAGGCTTAGAGAGTTCCTGAAGCTGGTGTAACAAATTACCACAAACTAGGTGGCTTAAAACAAAAGAAACTTATTCTCTCATGTAAGGTTCTGGAAGCCAGAAATCTGAAATCCAGTAGAACTGTGCTCCCTGTAGAGACTGTCGGGGAGAGTTCCTTCCTTGCTGCTCCTAGCTTCTGGTGGCTGTCTTGGCAATCCCAGGCTTTAGGCCACGTCATTCCAATCTCTGCTTCCATCTTCCCATGACCACTGCTTCCTCTTCTATGTGTCTTTTCTTCTCTCTTATAAAGACACTTGTGATAGCATTTAGGGCTTGCCTGAATAATCCGGGATTATCTCATCTCAAGAGCCTTAATCATATCTGCAAAGACCCTCTTTCCAATAAAGGAACATTCATAGGTTCCAGGGGTTTGACACAGTTTTCTTTCAGGGCCACCATTTAGTCCATGACTTGTCTGGAGTCATATAGTTTGTCAGTGACCTCGCTGGGCCTGGAACCCCTTGCCCAGGGCTCTCCTCCTCACCCCCCAGAAGTTTGCTCATACTTGGTGGTGTCGGGGCAGAGCATCTGCTTCCTGGTCTTGGCCTGCTGGCAGGGCATCCACTCGGCTCTCCAGTCCCTGGCCCAGCCCTCCTGCTAGTTGGATCCCTGTCCCTGCATCACCCACTAACAGTCAGTCTCTTTGTCTAGGCCGAAGCTATGATGAGAAGGTGGATGTGTTTTCCTTTGGAATCGTCCTGTGCGAGGTAGGTACAGGGGTGGGCAGCAGTTGGCATCGGGCTGTTGGCTCCTCCCCATTCCCCGGCCTCCCACGCTGCAGGCTGGAAGTCTGCAGGGGCCTCGGGCTAGGGATGCTCCTGGGAACTGGGCTGCCCACAGCAATTTGCATCTAGGTCCAGTGTGACCTGCCCTCAAACCCACCTGGGTGGCACCCAGCCCCAAGGGCTGCTGGGTAACTGCTGGCCCTCTGCTGTACAGATCATTGGGCGGGTGAACGCTGACCCTGACTACCTGCCTCGCACCATGGACTTTGGCCTCAATGTGCGAGGCTTCCTGGACCGCTACTGCCCCCCAAACTGCCCCCCGAGCTTCTTCCCCATTACCGTGCGTTGCTGTGATCTGGACCCTGAGAAGAGGTGAGTGGTGTGGGGCTCAGCTTGGGCAGCCTTGGGGGTAGGCTGACCCCCAGCAGAGCCAGAACCCACCGTCCCTCTCCCCTGACCTGTCATCCCAGGCCCTCCTTCGTGAAGCTGGAGCAATGGTTGGAGACCCTCCGCATGCACTTGGCTGGCCACCTGCCACTGGGTTCACAGCTGGAGCAGCTGGACAGGGGCTTCTGGGAGACCTACCGGCGTGGTGAAAGTGGACTGCCTGCCCACCCCGAGGTCCCTGACTGAGCCCAGCCCACCTAGCAGCCCCTGTCCCCACTGCGGAGAATCCAGCCTGCACCAGATTTCTCTGCAGGAGGCAGCCGGGTGTGGAGCTCTCAGCGGGCAGCGGGCACCCAGACCCCTCCCCAGCACCAGGCCCTGACTTGCCTCCTCCTACCCTGTGGTCTGTGGCCCCTGCCCTGCCTCTGCCCCCAGCCCAGAGCTGGCCTGGCTGCACACACACCATCACCTCGCCCCGCCTTACCTCTGTCTCGGTGGGGCTGCCCCCTCTTGCTTCTCCTTGCATGAGCTGGAGGGTCCATGTGAGTTGTGCCCCATCCCACACCCCATCGCCCCAGCCATCCTGCACACGCTCCACCTGTCTGCAGCTCCTCCAAGGCTGGAGGACAGCTTCAGACCATGCCATGTCACGGCTGGGTACACAGGAAGGTGTGTGTCAAGGAAGAGGCTGTGTTCACAGGAGCCATAAGGGAATCTGGGGCCTGTCACCCCCTACCCCCAGGGGTGTCTAGTTAGTAGCAGGTATTGATAACTATCCAAACCCCCAAAGCAAAGAGAGGTCTGCTCCTATAAGGGGACATCCTTGCTGGCTGGGCAGCAGCCCTCCTTGCTTTGGGTCTTTTTGTTTCTTTATTGAAGCCACTTTAGTGAGAAGCAGGTACTAGGCCTCAGGGTGAAGGGAGGGTCCCTGGGCCAGAGCTGCTGGAAGGAGCAGCAGAGGGGGTTGGGCAGAGAGGACAAGGCAGGTGTCCACCAGCATCCCAGCCCCCTGAAGTTCATCTCAGTGCCCCCTCCTGGACCTCTCCCCGAGGCTCCCTATCAGTAGCTGGAGCAGCCCCTGCCTCTCCCCAAGCCCTCTGTCCTCTGGGTTCTTTCTGTGTAATCTATTTTTTAAGAAGAGTTTGTATTATTTTTTCATACGGCTGCAGCAGCAGCTGCTGGGGGCTTGGGGTTTTATTTTTGGGGTGGGTG